ATTAAATAGAAAATATCAGAAAAGATTAATAACTGGTTCGAGAGAGGGTCAAAATAGAGGAGAAGTCATGGAGACTGAAAAGTTACAAATACAGAAAAAAAATCAAATTAAGAATCCTATTAATTAATAACATTAACTCCCAAGCAAAAGTTCTAAGACTAATTTGGGAAGTGGTAAAATACACACACACACACAAATACACACATGTATATATATGTATATGAAAGTGAAAAAGTTATTTTCTCAGTCATATCCAACTCTTTGTGTCCCCGTGGACTGTAGCCCATCAGGCTCCTCTGTCCATGAAATTCTCCAGGCAAGAATACAGGAGTAGGTAGCCATTCCTTTCTCCAGGGGATCGAACCTGGGTGGCTCAGAGGATAAAGAATCTGTCAGCAGCGTGGGAGACCCAGCTTCTATCCCTGGGTCAGGAAGATCCCCTGAAGAAGGGAATGGCTACTCACTCCAGTATTTTTGCCTGGAGAATCCCATGGACAGAGAAGCCTGACTGGTTATAGCCCATGGAATAGCAAAGAGTCGGAAACAAATGAGTGACTATCAGTTTTCACATGTGTATATAGGTTTACATACACACACTATATCTATTTATATATATCTATATATAAAGAGATTTACATTATATGTATATACATGTATGTGCATGTGTTCTGCTTTTTAAAAAAGTATGATGAAAAATTATTTCATGGATATTGAAAAAGAATATATACATTATTAATATATTCCTAATAAATTTGACTATATTCTTAGTTATTATATTTAAAATCGCTTTAACCCAATGCAAAGGTTAAACAACCCTTTCAGCCTAGGGAAGTATGCGGGAAATAAATCACAACTGAACCCTAAAATCTTGAACTGCAGTTTATATACTACCTAAGTAACTGTATCTTTAAGGAGAACACACCTTAACTTTAACTCCAAAAATATTTTGGCAAAGTTACTTCCAGCAATATTTTCTCTGGCAAACCACACTTAATTTCAAACTCACAGACTGGATCTTTGGCTAAATATGCCTCAGCTAACCACCTATCCATGAGAAATTTAACCTCTGGTAGTGTTCATGTAGTCTAAATTTTATAGCTTAATCTTCAGGGAATTGATCTTAAATCACCATGGAAATCCTTTACTGAACCAATAAATAGTGACAGAAGTGGAAAGAAACTTCCACATTTTTTCAGCTTTAATTTTCCCTCTTTTACTGATCTTTTTCTCAATGGCTAAGGAAAGCAACGTGACACAAAAATTAGAGGGTAAATAAATCCATTTTCCATAACTGTGTATTGGAAAACTAGTTACGAGTTTTGTATGTTGTTAATCTGGCCTAATAGTTTTATTAGACTTTTAATTTTATGGAGTGGCGATAGAACATATCATAATACTATGTATGTATTTTTATTAACTGAAAAAAGGAAACCAGAAATATTTTCCTAAAAGTTCACTTATCAGGGCAGATTGTATAGACTCTTATCCTGATGTTGATTGTTTCCACAGGGCTACTTATCCTGAATTTCTTGAATGAGGTACGTCTTGAGTAAGATCCAGTCATTCTTGAATCTTGGATTCTATTTCAAAGCACAGTTACGAATAATGCAAAGATTTTAAAACAAACACAAATTTCTTGAGAAGTCGTGTGTGTGTGCACGCACACTCAGCCGTGTCCGACACTTTGTGATTCCATGGTCTGTAGCCCGCCAGGCTCCTCTGTCCTTGGAATTTTCCAGTCAGGGATACTGGAGTGGATTTCAATTTCCTACTCCAGGGGACCTTCCCAACCCAGAGACTGAATATGTGTCCTGCATCTCCTGCATTGGCAGGTGGATTCTTTACCACTGCACCACCTGGGAAACCCCTGATAAGTCATACCTTCAGTAAAACTGACCCTTTTCTATGTTTAGTCTCTTCTTTATTTTTTTATAAGGATATAATTATTTTAAAGTTCACTTTCAGATTAGCAAAGATATGCAAATTTAATTGAAAGCAATAAATTTACAATTTTGCCTAAATTTTGAAGTCATACAAAAAGCCTAACACTGTTGAGGATGATATTCAGATAATTTGCCACTATATACATTGCTACAATTTGTGCTAAAGCAAGCAATTTGGGAAGTATACTATCTCCCATCTCTTGGCTCAATAAATAATATATGCTCTTATTTCACTAAGAAAATGTAGATAATAAAACAAAAAATACTCCATATCACAATCTAGAAATTTGTCTTCATCTACTGCTGTATTCTGCCTCTAATCAAAAGAGATGAACTCTCTCAGCTTCTATCTAAATTCAACCCTTTCTATAGCTCACATCTCTTATTTAATTTTTCTTTTATTTGTATCATAATTTTTTCTCCTCTGATTTATCAATACCATCAGCCAATAATCATCCTGAAATTTCTCTATCTTAATACAATAAAGTCCCCTATATCCCATCTCTCTCTTTAGTTGAAATAAAATCTAATTAAAATTGCATTAAAATAGAACTTGTAAAGGCCCATATGTTTTATCTCTAATTTCTTACTTCCAAATTTCTCCTCTGACTAATCCTGAAGTTTTATTCAAAATATTTTACTAAAACTGCTCTTGACATGGTTATCAATGACCTTTTCCTTGTCTTCTTAGAGTGTCAATTTTAAATTATATTCTCGTTTAATTCCACCACCATTTGATATGGCTGATAATTTCTTCCTTTTCAGAATGATTTTATAAATTGATTTCTAAGATTGCACACTCCACTGGGTTTCCTCCAATACCAATGCTTACTTTTTTCAATATCCTTTCCTAACACCACCCTCTTTTCTACTATGAAATGCTGGATTTTCCTCTGTTACAGCCTATTTTTTATCGATTCGTTCTTTTGTCAGTCCAATGGCTTTACCAAACTCCTAAGTTTAGAGTCCCCAAATTAAGCCATTGCCTTAGGTCCATACATGAATATGCAAGTTTCTACTTGGTTGGCTTGGAAGGGTTGAAGAAGAAAAGAACTGAGAAAGGAAAAAAAAATAAAAAAAGTCAGAGCTAGAAACTGGTTAGATGGCACTAGGCAATTAGAATGGTGGGAAAAAAGGGTTCCCACTACTGTGAACAGGATGTTCAATTCTTATTTCTAAGTTGTTTCTGTTTCTGAGATATGATACCTACCTCTTTCCCTCCACTGAACCATGCATAGGACTACACACAAGCACAGTTTTAAGTGAAAGAGGTTATATCTGTGAAAATTAAGAAAGTGGTCTGAGGTTGACATCTGGGTCCATGTGAGGTCTAACAAGAACTACATATGGGGAAAAGGAAGATAATCCATACACTAAACTAATTAAGTGGAAGTAGAAAAATAAGAGCCAGAAGGGACCTAAGTGATGTAAAGTTCCTCTTGGGATTTTCAGAGATGTGGGAAAAGAAAATGCATACAAAGAGATTTAAACCTTTAGGGATAGTAATGATAGCTAATTTCCAGATTACACATGTACATTCCCATCTGGCGGGTATTGCCATCAAGGAGGAGGCATGATATGAAAATCTGATATAAAATGAAATATTTAAATCTTTCCTTTAATTAGGTTCTTTTCAATACCTGTACAAACAAATGGAATCTGAATATAAAACTCAATAAGGAAAAACATACATAACTGAAATGTTTTCACCATGTATTCTTTAGCCTATGTATAATAAGATGTCTTATACAAAAGCAAGTGCCAAGAATAGTCATCTGAAAAAAAAATATATGGCCTCAATCATACACCTCTAATTTATATAAATTAAGGTACTTTAGCTTAATTTTCAAGAGAATATGAAAGTATAGGAAAAGTATTTCATATGAAGTATTTCAAATTTCATATGAAAAGATTTTTGAATTGAGGATATCTAGAAATGAATCAACTTAATCTACCTTAGAATTTGCTTATTACAATTTCATGAATTTTTCATGATTTAAATGAATGCCAAGTTAAGAAAATTGCCTGTATCTTTTCTTTCATAAAACTTGTTATCAAAATCACATTTACATGCAATATATCAAAGGAATGTAGTTTTAAAATAAGTGAGAGTCCCTGTCTTCCTATATTCTTGCCATCCAGAGGACAGTGAACACATCCCACATTCCTTAGTTAACATTTGGTGATGTTTACCAACAGATTTGAAGTTGTAAAGCCAGCATTCCAGAGACTATTACTTCATAGATATACTGATCTAGATTTTGGTTTGCAGCCAACAAATGCATGAAGACGCCTTGGTTTTAGTTTCAGCTTTCAAATCTTTCCACCTCACTTGGGCTTTTCCTATAAAAAGGAAATTTTCTATTTGAACAGCAAATTACAGTACAGTGTCTGGTCATGTACTTAAATATTAGTAAAACAATTTAGAAAAAAAGTATAAGCTAGCTAAAGTTAGGCTTCTTTCATAGTTTTTTTTCAAACATTCTTAATCACTATAATTTAGTTTTGAGATTAACTCAGGCTTGAGTAAAACCTGCTCTAAGTCATTCTTAAAATCAAGATAAGCATGTTGTATCTCAGCCCAGGTTAGCATCAAGTTTTTAGTCCTCTTTCCCCAGGTATTTCAACTTCCATTTACTGTTACATCATCTGCCTTTGTGTTCTTTATTGTACTAAAACTATTCTGATTTCTTACTGGGATTTGACACTGCTTGAAGAAAAAGAATTATATGATTTCCCTTACAGCTAAGAGCTGTGTTAATCTCTAGAAGAGCTTCAGATTGTCTTTCTAATTTTTGAGCAGTCATAGTTTCACATTCCAAACCACAGGTAGAAGAAAAAGTACCCTAGCATGCTATATTTGCTATTATGGAATCCTCTTACATGTCTTTTAAAATTTGTATTACTCTATGTTATTATCAAAATTATTCTAAGCAGATTGATTATAGAAACTTTGGACAAAAAGATATATATATATATGGAAAAAATGTTTTAAACTACTTCGAAACACTGCACTTAGTTTTCTGATACTGCAGGGACAAATTACCACAAATGTGATGGTTTAAAACAATTGAAATTTATTCTCTCACAGTCCTGAAGGCTAGAAATCTGAAATTCAGCAAGGCAATGCTCCCTCCAGAGGCTTTAAGAGATAATTCATTTTCTTCCTCTTCCATATTCTGTTGGCTCCAGGGATTTCTCTGTGACCTCATCATTCCAGTCTGTTTTGGTGGTCACATGGCCCCTCTTCTGTGTGGAGTCTCCCTCTGTTTGACTTTCACTAAAACCTTTGGCACTGGATTCGGGGCCCACGCAGATAATCTAGGGTGGTCTCTCTCATCTCTAGATCCTTAATTACATCTGCTGAGATGCTTTTTTCAAACAAGGTAACATTTGCAGATACTGGAAATTGAAATGTAGATATATCTCTTAGGGGTCCATCATTCAATTCACTATAAAAATTTAAACATTTAAAGAATCTAAAGAGTCAATCTTTCTCTTAATATCTCTCATTATGGCCTCATCCTGTATAGGGTTTCCCATAAAAACAGTAAAATAAGTAATATATATTTCAAAATATATTTCTATTCTGTTAAAACTTCATTTAAAAATACATAACAGAAAAATCCAAAATTTAAATTATTTTTGAAGAAAATAGCATGAGGACAAGAGGATGCAATATAGGCATATCATATCAGTACCTAGGACATTAGTAGTAGTAGATTAGTTCTAAAACTGAGTACTTGTTTCATGGGTGTATATTTTATCATTATGTTTCATACCTTAGTTATATGTTTTACATAGTCTTTAAATTAACGAAACATTAGCCATTCAAAGACATTAGAAGGATTTTCATAGGATATTTCCAAAATGGTGATAACAGCTTACACTCCAGTAGTATTAAAAGTATCTGTCACACTGTAGATACCACCCACATTGAATATCATGTTTTAAAAAAAAGGAAAAAGCAATCTTTGCTACTTGACAAAGATAAATGTCATTTTAAATTTATGTATTTAAGCACCTCTTATTTTTTCACATGTAGTTTAGAATAAGTTCATCAAGATTCTAAAAATATTTGAATTTTGATTGGAACTGCATTGACTTAGTATATGATTTTAAAGAAAATTAACATTATAAAAATGTTGAATCTTCTTATCCATGTATACAATGCAAATATCCATCTCTATACCTCTTCTCTACGGATAGTCAACAAAAATATAAATGATTTCTCCATAAATGTCTTGCACATATTTGAATAGTTTTTTTCCTGTTAGTATAAATACTGTCTTGCTTTTTCATAAACTTCTTTCATTTCATTTCATTGATTCTTCTCTCCCCCTATGAAATATCATTTTTGTAATAGAATAATATCATAACTGTCTTTTGATAACCAGATTACATGTTTCTATGTATTTACATAAATCTGTTTCCACATGTATGAAGTGAAGTGAAAGTCACTCAGTCGCGTCCAACTGTTTGCGACCCCAGGGACTATATAGTCCATGGAATTCTCCAGGCCAGAGTACTGGAGTGGGTACCCTTTCCCTTCTCCAGAGAATCTTCCCAGTCCAGCGATCAAACCCAGGTCTCTCCCGCATTGTGGGTGGATTCTTCACCAGCTGAGCAACAAGGTAAACCCAAAAATATTGGAGTGGGTAGCCTATCCCTTCTCCAGCAGATCTTCCTGACCCAGGAATCGAACCAGGAAGGTTCAGTTGCAGGCAGATTCTTTACATGTATAAGCATGATATTTTTAGTTAAACATGAAATAAACACAACTAAAACTAGATCAAACAAATAAGAAATCTATTGAGTCACAGAATATTAACTTCTAAATAAGAACAGGCCATACATTGACATGGATCAGCCATGGAGTTACAAGTATTCCCCATCCTGATCCCCCCTCTCACCTCCCCCTCTACCCAATCCCTCTGGGTGTGACAAAACCCACTACAATATTGTAAAGTAATTAGCCTCCAACTAATAAAAATAAATGGAAAAGAAAAAAAAGAACAGGCCATAAAAAAAAAAAAGTTTTTCAACAAAATGATGTTTTTGGGTTTCTTTTTCCCACTTCTGGAAATTTTTGGTTTGATTTAATAAAATTGTATTAAATGTGGAATTCCCCAGTAAAAGCCAAAAAGCCATCTGAGGTGACAATTTTCTTTGGGCAATGAGTTTTAACTTCCGATTCACTTCTTAAATAGACATGGGGCTAATTTAGGTTATTGATTCATTCTCCAGAGAGCTTTCTTAACTTGTATATTTCTAGCAATTTGTCAATTTCATCTAAATTGTCAAGTTTATTGGCAAGAAGGCATTGCTAACATTCCCTTATTAGTCTTTTAACACCTCTAAAATCTGTAGTGATGTCACCATCCCCATTTCTGAGGTAATATTGGTACTCTGTGCACCCTCCCAATTTTTCTCCTTTATGAGTCTACTTACCTGACTGAAACTTTATCAAGATTATTGATCTTTTCAAAGAAAACTTTTGGTTTCATTGACTTTTCTCTGTTATTTTGTATTCCAGTTATTTGTTTTCTACACTCATCTTCATCTCTTTCCATTCACTTTGTTTAACCAACTCTTCCCTTTCTGGCCTTTTAAGACAGAAGCTAAAGTCACTATTATGAGACCTTCCTTTTCTTCTACATTTGGCACTATAAAATTTCCTCAAATAATACTTTAGCTATAGCCCACAAATTTTTATATTATGTATTTTAATTTAGTTCAAAATATTTTCTAATATCCTCTTTGAATTCTTCTTTGGCCCTTATGTATTAAGTAGTATGTTTTTTAATTTTTCAAGTTTGGGATAGTTTTCCAAATTATCTTTGTTATTGTTTTCTAAGTTAATTCCATTATGATCACATAATATGTTTTATTATTTAAATTATTTAAAAATAATATACATTATCTTATGGGCCCAAATATAGATTTCCGATAAATATTCTGTGTGCAATTGAGAAAAAATGTACAATCTATTTGAAATGGCAGTTCTATTAATGCCAATTAATTCAAGTTAATAGAGTTTTTCAAGTGTCTCTATCCTTACTGATTATTTACTTATTCTATCACCTTTTTAGAGTAGTTTGTTTATATCTCCAGCTATATTGCATATTTGCTCCCTTATTCTTTGCTGTTGCATCAGTTTTCACTTAGTGTATTTTGCAGCATTGTTATTAGGTATATAAGCATTTGGAACTATGTTATCTTTAAAAATTGGTCTCTTCATTATTAAAGAGGAATCCTTAATATCTATGATATTTTTTGCTATAAAATCTACTTTAGTATTACCATACGTTTACTGTTAGCTGTTAGCCTAATAAATCTGTCTCTATCCTTTTTGTTTTAGACTTATTGGTGTGATTTGAAGTGTGTTTATTGTAAGCAGTACATAGCTACATTTTTCTTCAATCCAGCCTGTAATGTTTGCTTCTCAATAGGAGTATTTGGACTATATGTGAATTGCAACTATTGATATAGCATAGATTTACCATCTTACTATTTCTTTTCAAGAACACTAGAGGTCCATACTGCCATTTCCTATAGTGTTTGATCACAGACCCTTGTAGAATTCTTATCAACCTATCCCTGTCTTTCAAGGATACCTGTAGCTCTATCAGATCTGTCAAGTGGCAGAGAAATTTACAATGCACTCTGGACCTGTTGCAGAGCCCTGACTTGTTTACAGTTTCATTCAAGATCTGTAGCCTTCAGTTATAGAATAAATAGGTCACAGAAGGATTCTCGATTAGAAAATATACTTCTCCAAAACTCAAAGAGGTCCAAAAAGCCCTATGTCTCTTTTTCAATGTCAGAATATTCAGGATATAGTAACTTGTCATTTACCATGTCGTGCTCCTGATTACTTGATCCCTAAAATATTCACTGATACAGTAGGCCCATAGATCTTTCTAGGGTTTAGCTTCTATACTCTGACATTATCTCATTAGCAAAGACTCAGAGAACTCAGCATTTCTTGTCTACCAAGTTAAATTAGCCTATAATCATGGATATATTTGATCAGCAGAATATTATACAAAACATAAAACTAAGTTCTTTACACAATACATTGATAGCAAGAAGGAGGATTAACACAAGCCTTTGACAAAGGCAAACAGTGTGTACTGCTGTCCCTCTCATATAAAAGCAAGCTGCTTCAGATCATATTTTATAGTTAGATCAAATAAACCAGGTGCAAGATGCTATATTAACACAGAGAAATATTACATCTGGCAAAGCAACTGTAATTGGAGCTAATACTAAATTTAGTTTAGGGTAATCTATTATTATCCATATCAATTTGATTTCTTCCAGGATGCAGTAGGTGAATTAATTAATATAATAAAGATAACCACACTTGTAATTCTTTGAGGATGGCACCAATCTTTATAATTCCTCCTGACTTTTGCTTCTGATTTAATATCTTGAGTGAAGGTGGAGAAGAGAGAAATTTTAAGGACATTCAGTTGAAATATTTTACTATCCTAATAGCTCCTATTCCACGGACTAGAGATGCAACGCAAGTTCTGTCTGCCTCTTAGTATAACCCTCCCAATTACATACTTATGAGCTGGGAAAATGACCACCGGATGAATCCACCATCCCATTGACATCACTGTGAAATGAATTTGGGACAGAACTTAGTTTATTACCTGGCCTTTATAATAATAATACTCCACCCTAACTGAGGTACATAAAGGTATGTCAGATTCACAGGCAAGTCTCAGCTCAAACCTTGTAGGACACAACTCTTGAAGGCTGAGTTTCTACATTCTCATGATATCTATATTCTAGTTCCTTTGGAAAAGGTTTTGTGGGAATAGTATATATGTATACAATTCTGAACTAAGACTATGAAGCTCTTCAAAAGAACCCATATTACTGTGAGAATAATAAGTTCTGAGTTTGTAATTTGGCTCAAATGTAGAAATTGGGCAAAAATTATGATTTTCTGCTATGGTAGGTCTTTATTTATTTACTTGGATATTTTTCTAGTTACATATATTTTTTTAAATATTTCTTTCTGGTTGCACAAGTCAAACAATAGTTGGCAACTCATCTCTCTTACTACTGGGAAAAACATGATCTATTAGTCATCACAATAGCTTCTTACAGACTGAAGGATCAGGACTGCCATAACTTTCTTGCTATTATGGTAATTATATACACTTTGATGATTAGGTATCATCACTTTTTTTTTCCTATTATGGGAACTGATCAGCTCTACTGTTAATGAGAAGTTCAATTCTAGGATAGCACTTTCTTGCTATCAACACTATATTACAGATGACAACATGGATAACATCTTCAAAGCTGCTTAGGTCCTCTCACTAATTCATTTTAATTATCTTAGGAAAGAAAATGACCTTTGGGCCAGGTGGGTAACATAGTTTCTGATATCATATAATAATTCTCTTCTACCAAGCCCACTTCTCTGGATCTTTTGACATACATTAACAAATCAGTCTCAGCATCTTCATTTCATTTTCACTAGTCCATCATAAGATCCAAATGTAAAAGAGCTATTCCAGGAGAAGGAAATGGCAACCTACTCCAATATCTTGCCCGGAAAATCCCATGGACAGAGAAGCCTGGTGGTCTATGGTCCATGAGGTCACAAAGAGTCAGTATGACTGAGTACATACATATTCTAAAAGAACTTTGGGTCTCAAATGTTAGTATACATCAGAATCACCAAAAGTCTAATTAAATCACTGATTTCTGGACTCTGCCCCCAAAGTTGTTCACAGGTTTGGGGAAGCGCACGATAATTTGTGTTCCTAAAAAGTTCCCAGGTGATGCCAACACTGCTGCAGGAACAACACTTTCAGAATAATTGATGTAATCAGTGCTGCTGCTTCTAAAAATGAGTCAGCTCTTCACATCAAAGTGAAGAATTTTGGAACTTCAGGTTCAGCATCAGTCCTTCCAATGAATATTTGGGACTGATTTCCTTTAGGACTGACTGGTTCGATCTTCTTGCAGTCCAAGGGACTTTCAAGCGTCTTCTCCAACACCACAGTTCAAAAGCATCAATTCTTCGGTACTCAGCCTTCTTTATAGTCCAACTCTCACATCCATACATGACTACTAGAAAAACCACAGCTTTGATTATATGGACCCTTGCTGGCAAAGTAATGTCTCTGCTTTTCAATAGCTATCAAGGTTTATCATAGCTTTTTTCCCCAAGAAGCAAGCATCTTTTAATTTCATGGCTGCTGTCACCATCTGTAGTGATTTCGGAGCCCAAGAAGATAGTCTGTTACTGTTTCCATTGTTTCCCCATCTATTTGCCATGAAGTGATGGGACTTGTTGCCATGATGTTAGTTTTTATTATTTAGATATATGAAGGTGAAGACCAGAGGAAACAGCTGAAAGATTTGAAAACACTTGGATCTGGGGAGTTGGGCACTGGGAAGGAAGTGAAAGTGAAAGTCATTCAGTCATGTCCAACTCTTTGTGACCCCATGGACTATATAGCCCAAGGAATTCTCTAGGCCAGAATACTGGAATGGGTGGCCTTTCGCTTCTCCAGGGGATCTTCTTAAACCAGGGAACAAACCCAGGTCTCCCCCATTGCATGCGGATTCTTTACCAGCTGAGCTACAAGGGAAGTCCAAAGATACTGGAGTGGGTAGACTATCCCATCTCCAGCGGATCTTCCCAACCCAAGAATCGAACCAGAGTCTCCTGCATTGCACGAGGATTCTTTACCAACTGAGCTATTAGGGAAGCCTCTGGGAAGGAAATGGGGGTATTAAATAAAAATTCATTTTTTTATCTTAAGCTATAGAGAAAAATTTTACTTTTTAATTATGCAAATGCTTCATTTCCATTAAAAGTTAAACTGTATACTTGATGAGTGAATGATGAACTAAAACATAATTTGGCATTACTTAAAAGTCGAATGCCTTTCACTTTCACTTTGGGGCTTCCCTAGTGATTCAGGTGGTAAACAATCTGCCCACAATGCAGGAAACCTGGGTTCGATTCCTGGGATGGGAAGATCTCCTGGAGAAGAGAAGGCTATCCACTTCAGTATTCTGGACTGGAGAACTCCATGGACTGTATACAGTCCATAGGGTCACAAACAGTTGGACACTACTGAGTGAATTTCACTTCAAAAATTGAGCAGCTTTTAAATCCACTTCCTAATTTCTCTTTAGCATACTTTGTTTTTGTTCTATTTTCTCACATTATTTCAGCTGAGAAATAATAATTTGGAAATAACAGTGTTCTTTTTAATTTTATTAAACAGATAGCTCTAGGTTGATTTGCCAAAGATCCACCCAGTAACCCTGACTCACTGAAAAAGGGTGGAGATTTTCTGTAAGAGAAGTTGTTTTCTCTTTCACCTCTTCTAAGGCAGCTTCTGCAGCCAACCCTTAAGGCCAGAATCAGATAATAAAAATTCCAAAGCTGACTTCACCCTGAGCTGCAAGATCCAAGAGGCCAGCATCTGCCAGCTTTCACTGAGTCACTAATAGTCTAGGAGGTAAATAATATTTTTATTTTGCTTTGGTGAAATAAAATGAGAAATGCTGATATCACATTATAAACTCTTTCTTTTCAAAAGCAAAGTACATATGTAGTCCCAGAGATTTTTGAGTTGGTGGCAAAAATCCATGTACTGAATCTAGAAGTTATCTGCCATACAATTATATTGCTCTGTACTATTCTACACATTCTTCTTCATGTGCAGCTGAGACTACACATTTCCTGAGAATAAGAACTTCATCTTTTCTATCTTTGTGCACCATTTTCTAGCCTCACTATGTTAGGCATTATTGTTATTAATAATTAATATATAATAATATTAATATCTAATATTTTCACAGAAAAGTGCATGGTCAAGTTTTAAAGAGAGGAACCTCAAATTCTTGTCCTCATTCTATATAGGATTCCAAATTTGCATTTTGACAAGCCTTAAAATATGTTTACTAACATTAGTTTTATCATGAAAGTTTGAAGCCAGCAATTCAGCTGGAGAGATGGAGGGAAGAAATCTATGTTGGTTAGGTGGAAGTGTTCCACTTTTTAAAAATCATGCTACAATGGATGTATCTTAGTTTGTTCATCCTGATGATCATTGCTTTCTTAATTTTCCCCCCCATTGGATATATTTTTGAAAAAATTTTATTAACATTTTTAATTAGAGGATACTTACTTTACAGTGTTGTGTTCATTTCTGCTGTACATCAAAGTGAATCAGCTGTAAGTACACATATATCTCCTTCATCTTGAGCCTCCCTCCCACGCTCTCCATCCCACCCTTCTAGGTCATCACAGAGCACAGAGCTGAGCTCCCGTGTCACACAGCAGCTTCCCACTAGCTGTCTATTTCACACACGGCAGGATCACTGCTTTCTACTGGATCATGCCTATGTAATTACACACACACACACACACACACACACACACACACATGTGTATCCACATATACATATATATATACACCATCAATTTCAATATATGCCCTTTAAGAAGAGGATGAAAGATTTGTTGGCTAAATATCTGTTACATATATATCATATTCACAGAACTTCCAAATTTAAAAAAAGTTTAGAAGCTTTCAATCCACCACTTACTTTTTAAAATCAAATAAACATAGCCCACTGAGAAGAATACATTTCCAAAGTAAACAGGAAGCATCAGATGCAGAGTTGATAGTTGAAATATAACATAACCAGGTCCCATTTCTTTATTTTTGTTTTTTGTTTTCCATTACTCTGGGAGACAGACAGAAAAATATATCACTGTGATTAATGTCAAAGAGTGTTCCTCCTGTTTTTCTCTAAGAGTTTTATAGTGTCTCATCTCATATTTAGATCTTTAGTCCATTTTGAGCTTATTTTTGTGAATGGTGTTAAAGAATGTTCTAATTTCATTTTTTCTTTGCATGTAGCTGTCCAGATTTCCCAGAATCATTTGTTGAAGAGACTGTCCAATGTATAATCTTGCCTCCTTTGTCATAGATTAATTGACCATAGGTCCATAGGTGTGTGGTTTTATCTCTGGGTTTTCTATCCTGTTTATCGATCTGTATTTCTTTCTTTCTTTTTTCTTTGGCTTTTGCACAGGAAAGGAAATCATAAAACGAAAAGATACCACACACAGTGGGAGAAAATATTTGCAAATGATGTGACCAGCATGGGATTAATCTCCAAAGTTTAAAAACAGCTCATGCAGCTTAATGTTATCAAAAGAAACAACCCAATCAAAAAGTGGGCAGAAGACTTAAACAGATATTTCTCAAAAAGCATACAGATGACCAAGAGGCACCTGAAAAGGTGTTCAATGTTGCTAATTATTTGAGAAATGCACATTAAAACTACAATGAGGTATCACCTCACACCAATCAGAATGGCCATCATCAAAAAAATCTACAAACAATGTTGGCGAGGATGTGAAGGAAAGGGAACTCTCCTACACTATTAGTGGGAATGTAAATTGATATAGCCACTATGGAGAACAATATGGAGTTTCCTTACAAACCTAAAAATAGAAATCTCATGATTCTACAACATAATCCCAGGCATATATCAGAGAAAAACATGTATCTGAAAGGATACACACACCCCAATGTTCACTGTAGAACTGTTTACAGTAGTCAAGATATGGAAGCAACTTAAATATCCATCAAAAGAGGAATGGACAAGATGTGTACATATATATAATACACTGGAATATTAGCCATTAAAAAGAATGAAAGAATGTCATTGGCAGCAAAATGGGTGGGCCTAAGATTATCACACTGAGTGAAATGAATCAGACAGAGGAGAAGAAATATTATATAGCATCATTTATATGTGGAATCTAAAAATATATATATATACAAATCGACTTATTTATGGAACAGACTCACAAACTCAGAACAAATTTAGTTACCAGGGGGAAGAATGGGGAGAAGGGATAGAGTTTGGGATTGACAAATACATACTGCTATATTTAAAATGGATAACCATCAAGGACCTACAGTATAGAACAAGGATACTTCATGTAACAACCCAAATACAATATTAGGTAACAACCTAGATGGGAAAAGATTTAGAAAAAGAATACATACACCTATATGCATAACTGATTCACTTTGTTGTACATCTGAAACTAATACAACCTTGTTAATTATAGTTCAATATAAAATACAAAGTTATTTCCTAAAAAAAATAATGTAACATAAAAATGAGGCTAAAAATGCTAGTCTAAATATTTCTATTGGCTCTATTCATCTATTTTTCAGCTTGAATGATTTCCCGATTCTTTCGCAAAGGTAATGGTGTTATTTATTTGTAAATATTTAAATATTTTAAAACAAAAGTTATAACCAAATAGTTAACATATTACTTGATTTTTCCAAAGTACTGAGCTGATTCACTGAATGATATATAATTTATGAGGTTTTGTTTGCTTGTTCCTTTTATTACTTTTGGAAGACACAGATCTCATTCTGTCATTTATTAAAGAACTTCTTAGCATTTTAAAATAATCATAGAGTAGATACTAAAGTACTCAATAACCTCAGATATGCAGATGACACCACCTATATGGCAGAAAGTGAAGAGGAACTGAAGAGCCTGTTGATGAAAGTAAAAGAGGAGAGTAAAAAAATTGGCTTAAAACTCAACATTCAAAAAATTAAGATCATGGCATCTGGTCCCATCACTTCATGGCAAATAGATGAAGAAACAATGGAAACAG